AGTTTCGTATTGATTGTTGATTCAACTCTGAAATGTCTTGAAATTCTGTTCAGGATTATCTTAGAGTTCATGTCTGAATTGTGAATAATACTCGAGTATTAGCCCAAGACAGGGATGCCATTCTCCCCAGTGGAAGCAGGGTGATGAGTTTAAAAGACACCTCGCACTATGACAAAAGCAAACTCACCCGAGAGATTTTTATTTTGTTTTCACCTAGGTTTTAACTTTCTACCGCTTCTCCCACTTCACAGAGCATGAGCATGAGCATGATTGACCGCCCACGGTTGCTACTCTGTTATTGCCAGATCAGCTGTAATTACACAGAGAACCAATAGACGATGCTTGGGATTAGCAATCATCCTCAATGTGTAAAAACTGGTGATCTCAAATTAGGCAATACCAGCGCCAGCCGCGCCTGAACGCAGGTCAAGAAAGGAATGGGTAGGAATGTGTTGACGTGACACTCGCTTTGATGGAAGCCGAGAAATCCTCTGCACTTCCACGAAGAGTCACTGGGATGTTGGGTAAGAGGGTAGGGTTTGCAGCAAGGTTCGTTTTGGTAAACGATAAGCTGAATTGATGTTTGAACCATAGGGATGGGTTATTGTATTAATAAATAAAAAATAATGATCTCAGTCAAATAACCAAGTGGAGCTGCACCAACAGCAACCGGCCAAATTCATATTCTATTATAATAAAATAAAAGGTAAATAACAATGATAAGCTATTTGATACACCTTCTGGTCCTTCTACCGCTTCTCCCACTTCGCAAACAAATACAGTTTCTGACGTTCGCACCTCCACCAGTCCAACACACTGGAGCGTATGAGTGATCACTAGGGAGCACCGTAGAGAGTTCGATTGCTTCACCGGGGCACCGCGGTGAAGATTTTGGTTGTTAGTTTGTGGCCTTTTGTGGCATACAAAGATTTTTTAAAGGTTACTTTTTCTATTAACGTACAGTATGTAGTCAATTATTTTAAAATTTGGCAAAATAATAAAGTGCACATTTTTGAAAAACGAATACGGGAAGTGCATCAGCGCATCGATATTGAAATTTTTGCTTCAGTTTAGTCGACAGACAGACATGGGACATCGATTAGGATCACAGCGGGAGTTCCACAAGGCTCCATCCTTGGTCCAACGCTCTGGAACGGGATGTACAACGGCGTGCTAACGCTGAAGCTGCCCAAATGAGTTGAGATCGTTGGATTTGCGGACGACGTCGTCTTGACGGTAAGAGGCGAGATGCTGGAAGAGGTGAAAGTGTTGGCGACCGAGGTGATCGACATGATTAGTAACTGGATGCAAGGAGCGATGCTGCAGATAGCCCACCACAAAACCGGAAGTGCTATTGGCCAGTAACTGTACAGCGGGCAGATATCACCATCAGGGACACGCCATAACCTCAAAGCGTGTCTTGAAATACCTGGGAGTGATGATCGATGACTGGCTAAACTTCAACAGCCACGTCGAATATGCCTGTGAGAAGGCTGTATACGTTGATGTTTTCACTTTCTCACGTAAAGTTCTGCCGGAATCTTTGGAGAAACAATAACACCTTTGCGCTGCCATCTTTCTCACGAAAGTGAGTATGTAAACAGACGAACAATGAACAGTCAACTCTCTCACTCTCGTGCTGTGTCTAACAATGTCTCCAGCAGAGATGCCAGATTGTTTTCTATGCAATTCCGTAGACTTATTCAAATCTACGGATTTCTACGGATTTTTTTTAGCCGAAGGAGATATTTTTTTTTTAGTTCTATGGTGATATTTTACGTTACATGATAAATCGATGAAAATACTTTTGAAAAACTACTAGGGACAGCCCTCTGGGGTTGTACGCAATGGTGGCGTCGGACTACGTGGTCTTATTTAATAAATGTTATTTGTTAACTACAGCAGGACTTGTGTTTTGTGTAGGAATAGGAATTTAAGCAGGGTTCTCTCTGTTTATACTCTTTAGTATGACTATGATTGCCCTGAAAAGAAGCTTTGATATGAATTTTAGCTGGGACATGTTCAGAAATTTAACTCTTTCAGAAAAGCTTGGTGGCCCTGAAAAGGGCATGAATACCATGATACTGTTGCACCTGTAGTTTTTGGCATACTTTCACTGATTGCTTCCCGGGGATCCTTGTTCAGCCATAGCAAGATGTGTGCGTGAGGACTTCCACGGTGCTTAAAACTCAATCGTATCAACCAGCTTGTTGAAGTACACACAGAACGTGATTGGATCATCATTGACCAGAATTGCTCTTTGTAGTGCAGTCAATTCCTGGATAGAATCTGTTAAGTCATTGCCATTGTGTCCTTCTGACAATGTAGGAGATTCAACAAATGGGGCCACTTCATCTCATTTGCACTAAGTGTGATGAACATCGTAGGCTTTCCCAATTGTCGCATCATGGTGAACAAATTTATCTTCCTTTGTTACCAATACTGTACTAAATTCGGTATTGATTTGAGGAAGGATAAATTTCGCTCAAAAGTGCATTGCAAGCCTTCGGAAACTCTAAGGCGTAGAACTTTCATGTTCATGTACAACGAATGTTGTGGTTTGCCCACACGCCTGTCTTGACGACGAGTTTCACTGGATACCATCATGAAATATGTCATCCGAATCCCTGGCTTGAATTTCCGTAGATGGTCAAAACATATGGCAGGAAAAGCTATCTCTTCGCCGTGCTCGTCATATATTAATAACAGATGAACCCTGTTTTGAGCGGGTGTGATCTCCAGGCATTTGTTCTTATTCCAAAGGAGCGTTTCCTGTTGCCCAAGCAGCAATTCTGTCTCATTATCCACGGCAATGGTTTGCAGCTCAATGTGAGGATCCACTGCAGGGATTTCAAGACCATCTATGGCGATCTGATCAATTGTGATCCCGTAGCGGCGGTATAGTGGTGTCCTAATCTAATAAGAAAGCCACGTTTTAACCGTAGTTTCCTAGAACAACATTCGAGCAAAAAGAAAATTATCAAATAACTTTCATATGACACATGTGATTTCGTTCTAATTCCTCAATTTGGTGTCAATTAAACCATTTCTGATCAGAAATGTTATAACTAGGACATCGTTGCTTGCTATTTTCAGAATTCACACAAGCACACATCAGCAGCTCTTATTATGAGAAAAACACAAATACATACATTCGTTACGGCCTTCGGTGACAGTGTCGTATGACAGGGCCTGTCGTATAACATTGGTACTGTTACTTGAAAGCTTGTTTTGCAAGTGTCGGAAGCAAAGGCAGTCGATTATCACAGAAAATGTGTCGACTACGGTCGACCGACCGACTTTTATTCGCCTTCACACGGCACCGTCGAAAATTTTTCTCTTCCAGCAAAGATTTACAGTATATTATGGGAACTTTCTCCGGAGTGAAGAGTTTCACGCACAGTCTGACGTTTGCTTACCGGATATTTCATAGGAGATAAAAGCTACAGAGTCGCCGTCAACACCAATTCTATCAAAAAGCGGATAAGGGAGCAAGAAAACGGTGGTATTTTACTTTATGCTTCTTTCCCTTCAGAATCAGATTATACTCTAGATTGTAAAATTCGATTCTGAAGGGAGACGTATACTGAAGAAAAAATCCGTAGAAACTGTACCGAATTCCGTAGATTTTGCCTACGGATCCGTATTTCCGTAAAAAATTGTAAAATCCGTAGATCTACGGAGATTTCCGTAGATCTGGCATCTCTGGTCTCCAGTGCACTGCAGTGGTGCCAGGATAAATCTCCGAGGAGACAAGCAGAGATTCACCGCAGAGAATGATATCTCTCGCACCCGAGTGATTCTCCCCAGAGAATTTTCAACCCTGGCCCAAGACACTGAAGAAGTCTGCACATTGTAGACGTAATATGCGTATCTGTCAGGATAGGCAAATAAGGTTGTGGAATTAAATAGAAATTACTAATCCTTCTTTCTTTTTCTCTAGGGTTTCCGGAACCACCACCAAGAACACCAGATCGAAAATGTTGCGTTGGAAATGTTGGCATGGCCTCTGATGAATTCTTCATGAAATTCTGCGAATTTTGAGGTGCCGCACAAATTGGTTCTATGAAAATTATAAATTCACCAATTGCCAATGTTACCCAGGATATGCTTTTTTCTCTCCTTGATTTGTTTTCCGTCAATATTGTTTTCCGTGCTGAGCACCAATGCTACCGACGACGCCAGGAAGGCAGCTCCCACACCTGGACCCTACCTATCGACCCATCAACTTATGAACCGGGGGAAAAAGGCTTAACTTCCCGGCGTGATGATCCGCGGTACAAGTAACAATAATGTCAATAAATGAGCTAGTAATTACGATGTTAACAACACTGTCACGTTCTGTCATGACAAAAATATCGATGAGATTTTGAAGTAAATTTCTATCGTTGTTTTCTCATCCGATGATCGTGATAGAAGTACCTATCTCTGTAAATATCGCGTGAGATCTTTCATTGGAAACGACATTTGCCAGCCCTCAGTGTAGTCAGTTGTAAATAAACCATCCCCCCGATCGGCCGACGGCAAATAAATGTTGTATCATTGTGTAATAAAAGTGTAGTATTTAACCGCGATTACAAGCGCTTTTTCATAGTGACGATATCACTGCTTGTAGGGACTAAGTGCGTGAAACACAGGCGATTACCATCGCTTTTATGTGCGTGAACATGGGCATTAGCAAAAGCAAGCAGTCCAGTAGGGAAGTCTCTCACGTTGGCCCTATGGACAACTTAAGGTGTGCAGGATAAATACTTGATTTAGTGAGTTTCAGTAGCTGACAATGTATGCGAACATAGTTCAGATGGTATAAGTTCCAATAGATTCACCACAATTGGAACTTTACACTTGCTCTGAACTAAAGGTTCAGAATGAAAAAAAGACGACAAATCAAGAAAACAAAAAAGTGGTTGTGATGTATCATCTAGCAAACAAACTAGTCGACGATGAATTGAAAGGTGCATGTGAACTAAATCGTTTTATTCGTCCAAAATACGTTGTATTTTGCTGCGCTCTCGTTCGTTCTGCAGAATTTTTTCACTTAATCATTTATACTGAATCAATAGGGGAGAATTATCTTCCATTTTTTTTTAACGTTTCGTCGTTTTGTTCCTTCGGTTTTTTTTTGTCTTTGTTCCTTAACTAGTAATACATTCTATGGAGTAGATTTTTCTTTAGGAGATACAATCGCTGCGGTTGTCTTGTTCATTATTTTATGTTCAATATGTCGATATTTTTTTTTCTTCTAAATTTTTCTGCTTTTTTACATATCTAACACGTTTGTTAAAGTTTGCTTTTTCGAAAACGAAAAATATATATCTCATCTAAACTCTTCAATTATACAAAAATATCGTTCTATTGAATTGAATTCCTTTCTGTTTTTACATTTTTGTTTTCTCTTTTTTTTTGTATAAAATATAACTAACCTAGAAACACGATTTGACGTAACAGAAAACATTGTCAAACAGAAACAAAAGTTTATGTAAACCGATGTCTGCATTTCGCTTTCTTTTCAGTTCTCCTTCCCTTCGGTAAACAATTGCCTCATATAGAGAACCGTTTCTTTCGGGTTTCTTCGTCTAAACGTCTTTATCAAACAGAACAAATCACACCGCTCCAGCTGGCAGGAAACCATGCTCCTGCCATTGTTATTCGCTTTTGCTTATCGTTTTTCTTTTCTTCATTCGCTTATCGATGCAGTGTGTTTTCTGTGTACAACAACGAATTTCGTCCTTCCTTTCGCCTTCCCTATACAATAGCGCTATGCCCTAACGTAGAGGAGTTTTTCCTTCGAATCTAGGGTATTTATTCTTCTTTCTGTTATCTTATTTGATTCTCTCTGTACAAATACTACATATATTATTTTAGCTAGTTTACAGCACAAACAACGATGCGCCTCCGTGGAGTAGTAGGACCGGGGATGCTACCAGGAGGAATAGGAGAAGAAGACCACCCATCAGAGGTACCGTCAGCCGTCGTGGGTGGTGCTATCTGGCGAGACGCTGCAGCATCAGGAAGAGCAGTTGCTTCAGGATGAATTTAGAATCGACTGCTGTGAGCAGCGCTGAGAAGGCACACGATCGCTGATAGATTCCGTACGGATTGGCGGTACCTGCAAGTGGGAGAGAGTAAGAAGTAAATAAGTGACAACAATTTTTCCCATACACATTTATTGGGAAAATTTCGCTAAAAGCTTAACAATCTCCCCCATTTTCGATCTGGTTCGATTAGAGCGATAAACTCTGTCGATTTACAGCTCAAGGCACAATATACTGCGCTAGTTTATATCGATATCGGTTTCGCTGGGAAGATACTGGGGCCACGTCTTTGAACAGAACACCTTTTTGTTGACCTTAGGGGAAATTTACCGGCTACCGTTAGGAAACTTCGAGATGGAAGAAAGACAACGGGAGGGTGCGGGTGGTGGACAGGTTTTATTATCTTCACCGATACTTTACGGTTCGTTATGGTAGGATCCCTTCGGCTCTGGTTTTGCAATAATTTATACACCTTTTCTTTTACTATGCTGGGGATTGCCCATAGCCGATGGCGGAGAACCCTTTCTCGCTTCCAAGCTCCCTGTCATCGGTCGGGTTGTACAAGATATTGTTGCAATGTTCAGTACGTTCCGTTTGTACTTGGGGAGTGGCGTTCCTTCAGGGCTTTTACCTCAAGTGGTCACATAAAATTGTTATTGGTGTCCTTTTGCTTTCAAGTTTCTTCCGCTTATCGAGGAAAATTGTCGTCTCGTGATGGGGTTGACATAATATTTTTCTTCTTGTCCATGTTATATGGAAAGTGGATGGCGCTAGTAAATTTATACTGATAGCAGAAATCGAATAATTCATTTTGTTGCCTACTTTAAAAAAGGTAATAATTTTCAATAAAGTATACCGTATATCTCAAAATTGAGCGTACAGCTGTCCGTACATGTCAGAAAAACAACTGTACGAGCACAACTTAAAAAGATAGATTTCTACATTTTTGTCTGCTTGGTTATCGGTTATAGTATTGAGCTTCAGAAAAATTAGATATTCTAAAAAAACACATTTTCTTGAAATACAATGCGCCGAACATATTGAAATTCTGCTAATCTGTAGTCATAATAAAGATCTTTAAAATGCCGCTAATTTTGTGTTATAATGCAATTCTTCTTTACCAAAGTATTGTGTTAACGGAACTATCCACCTACCCTCTTCTAAGATCATTATCTAGCTAATAAATTATCACACTAAAGCTTCATGTTAGATAGCATTGTCAACCAACTCTGAAAATCGCAAACTTCGCATATGAAGTAACATAAAAACGCCCCGTAACGTGGGTAGATCACCTTTTCGTGGTACGTTACGGTCTAACTTCTTCAAACTAGGGGAACAGGATTTTTCAGTAATCAAAGGAACACATCTTAGTCCTTGTTACTTTTTATGCCTTGTTGATAGTGATAAGTCCTCGGGTTGCCTGGACCGAGGATGATCTTGAAACAAGGGAAAAAATGAGTTAGTTAGTCTTCATCTATGTGATTCCTAATCTTCTAATCGTTGTTCCCTAGTTTGAAGTGGTTAAGACTAGGGTTCTGATGCATGGTCATTATCGGTGTCATAACTTGTTTTTGTTGTTAAGGAATCCAATTTTGACTGACAAAGGGGCGCGCCTTTGGAGGGTGTTCCAACTCCGAAGGGTATAAATAGCGGAACCTTTCAGTTAGAATCGATTCCTTGCGATGAAGGCAAGAATGACAACTGTATCAAAACCGAATACTTCATCATTTCTCAATAGTGATGGAGTAATACGACATGCACTAAACTAAGGACACGGGATATACTACAATAGATCAAATTACTGGTCGCAGTGGTGTTATGTCCCGAACAGAAAAAAAAAACATAAAAACACTTTGAATGAAACTCCTACGCAAATTAACAACACTATTTTGTTGGGGAAGCATTAGTCTTTCTGATGGTGATGTTTGTTAGTGTGGGAATGCAAAGAGTTTCGACAAATTGACGTTTGAATCTTTGTTTACAAAAGCAGATACGTTTCTTTGTAAAAGTAACCGAGATTTGCTTCGAGAATTTTTTTATTAATAGTGTCTCTTTCCAATGTATTTCTAAAGTTTTTTTTTTAGAAAAAAAAATGTTGCAAGAATCGTACGTTGGTACGAATTACATCAATCATATTGTCGAGCAGTTTTGAGACTACATTCTACTCCGAATTTTAAGGAAATGCAATAATTTTCAGATTTTTCTAGCTTAGCATAATTTAGCACTATGTCTCGAAGATCTAGAAGAAATTGTTTCAAAATATTGTTTCACGGCAAAGTTCGAGTAGTAGGAAGCGTCATTTTTTTTTTCGAATGATGTAAACCATTTGCATTTAAAACTTTGGTTTTTTTTTTTTAAATAACGAATGTTTTTTACTGTTGCATATTTTTTTGACAAACCAAATTTATTCTCCACGACTTTTTATCAGAAGTAATTTCGGTAAAAATCAACGGTTTTCGAGTTATGAATTAAAAAAAAATAAATACATAAAGTGAAAACACATACGCCCTTTTGAAAAAAAAAAAAAAAATAGTCGTGAGTCAAAATCGTCTCTTGACATGTGGAAAACAAAACATAATCTCCAATATCGAAAACATGTTAAACGTTTCATCTAAATCGGAGAGGGTTGATGATTAGCGAGATACCCAAGTAACACTTGCAACATATTGCATGAAAAAAAAAAAAATCCAGTTGTAAATAAGTTATATATTCATTGCTTCTAAAACACCCTGTTTTAGACGCGTTGTATTGTTGTTTTTGAAGTATTCAACCTTTCTGACAAGCACTTGTTATCTTGAAGCTATAATTCGGTATTGCATGTTTCAATTACCAGTTTATAACACATTTATAACTGATTGTATTTGGTGAAAACTGGCTAGCCTTATATACAACATGTTTTCATATGTCATTATTAGAAACATGAATACATCTGAGATATAACTTATTTATAACATGTTATTAATAAGTTATAATTCAGTTGTACTCATGTTTCCAAAAATGACATATGAAAACATGTTGTATATAAGGCTAGCCAGTTTTCATCAAAAACAATCAGTTATAAAAGTGTTATAAATAGGCAATTGAGAGTTGCCATACCTAATTATAACTTCAATATACGATAGTATAGTAATAGTAAAGTAATAGTAATGTTCCTGTTTGTCGTGTTATAAACATGTTTGATAACAATTATGAAATTTCTCAATGCATTCTACAAACTGCACTACAATATGGCTGAACAATGAAGCAATGTATAGAATGAAAAAAAAAAAACGTTTAATTTGTGTTTTCAACATCACATGTACGTTTTGTAACAGAGAAAAGTAAGATAATTGAAAAAGAAAGTTGATATTCTATTTTTTTTTGTTTTTTGCAAAGCTGGGCAATTTTATCCAGGATTTTTTATGCAATTCAATTTATAATATTAACCTTTTCTAAGAGCCAATGAGTTTTTTAGAAGTAGAATGTATAGATTTACCATAAATTTGAAACCGCATAATTGTTTGCAGTACGGATTCTAAGTTTAGGCACTTTATTCGCACGACAAAATTCCTCAGAAGAACAAGTTGTGTAAATTGATGATAAACAAATTCCATTCGTAGGATGGATGAAATTAATTTACAACATGTCCAATACAGTAGGTTGCGTTATAGTCATAAATAAGTTGCGCAAGTCAAGCATATGTTATATATAGATCCCACCTCTTGCGCTTTTTTCGGTATAAATAAGTTGTATATAAGTGACTAGACGTAAATGTTTACCGCTGATATTGTCATAAATAAGTTATGTAAACCCGTTTATGACAAATTGTGTTGCTTCGGTAAGGATACTACCCAAGTAACATTTCAAGTTTTGTCGAGGTTTTGAAGCAATCTACAAGTCTTAATAATGGTCTATAGAACCCTAATGAAACCCCAATTGTTACGTGGGTATGATGATGATGATCCCACCTCTTACCCCTACAAATGTTTGAGCTAAACGGTTTATCTTTAAGATAATTAGGTATAACATTTTAACCAGGTTAGCAAACAAACACAAACTGGTTACAATTACAGATAAAAATTCCCGCTAGAGTTTACAGTTGCTTCACAGCTGTATAAATGTGAAAAAACTTAGACGTCCACCTCTTAGTGCACCTTCATAAGTATTACAAGCAATGAAGAGTTAATGAACAGTCAACAAAGCATCCTATACACTAGGAACCCCGCAATCTGATGCTATCATAATTTTCAGCAATGTCAGGAATGTTCACGAACCCCCGATATTTAGCCAGAAAGCTTACTACTAACTCAAGGTATCTTGCAAATAAGTTTCAAAGTTATATTTTGTTTGATCAAATATTAAATTCAGTCCTCTAAGCACGCGAGGCTTAAACTACTTCTATCAAATCAAATATCAAAAATCCATTAATATATAGTTTTTGCAGTGCTACAATAATTATTACCATCATCAGATAACTGTCCAAAAGACAGTTAAAACGTGTGAAATGTAATGTCTCCGAAATTCTGCTAGTGTTGTTGTACGTTTAATAAGTCTTGGCATCGAATTGAAAACAGTTATTCCTTTAAAATACAAAGAATTCTGTGAAGCACAAGTCAAGGAATGTGATGTTTTTATTTCAACCGCGTTTCTAGTATTATATCTATGAAAATCACTTCCTCTTTCAATTCGATCACACAAATATCGAGGTAGGAAATCATTAACTACTTTAAAAATGAACACCATAGTCAAATATACAATTCGTTGCTTCACCGACAACCATTGTAAGGCGTCCAGCATCAAAGTTGAGGAAGTGAATCGATTACAGTTCAAAATCAAACGCATCAAAGCGCTGTAATCTCACTATTTGCCAGAAATAAAATGGAAGGGCAAATAAAAGTCTAGATGAGGAGAGATGATTGATTTGAATAGCTGTATTTTACTGGCAATAGTTAAATCTTCTTTTTTCTTTCTTTTTTTTCTTTTTTTTTTATTATAGTCACTTTAACACTCTTGGGTCATTCGTGACTTGTCCGGGGGTGAGATTTGAACTCGTGACTTTGGCGTGAAAGGTATGGATGTTAACCACTACGCCGGG